CCTACCCCCAAGGGCTGTAGGGTGGGGCCCAATGGAGTCTGTGTGCTAAAACAAAATTTCTTCATTTTCCTTGTTTAGAATCAGAGGTGCTAGTTTCAAATACTTTTCAGTCTTAAATCTGCATGCTAGATATTGAATAAGGTGGTTTTATTGTTTTTTGTCACTTTGAATAATATTTCTGTTCATGTTAAAAACAAAAATCAACTCTCTGTATAAATATATCAGGTGACCGTTAAGGCCCCATGGGCCTCTTGTTACTTTTCTGAAAGTTGTTTATTTCATTAATTTGATAGCTTCCGCCACCAAATGACACCACTATCAGTGCAGATAGTACATTGTATATCAAGTAATTGTAGGAAAACAAAGTTGCCTTGGTCTGATGATGGAACACTATTGGTGTCCCATGCAGTTTTTCAAAACCATTTGACTGCTATATTAATGGAGAGTTGGATTTGAATCTGCTATATAGCGACATGAATGTCTCTTTATCCCACTCAAGTTTCTGTTGTTGTTTTTGTAGAAATCCCAGTGTTTCCAACAGTAACGGCTCGAGTGACATTCAACTCGTTTGAGTGGAAGGAGGAGCTACCGGACAGTTTGTTCTACATACCACCCGAGTATGTTGAGGACCCCAAGCGCTTCCCAGACTTATGACTCTACCTGGAAATCTACTTCATCCACATCCTCACCAGCCTCAGACAAATCAACCAACCACCAATCCCTGGACACGCGGAAGCTTCTGAATCAGAAACGGGGGACGAAGCTGAATGCTTCGTCGGTATGGAGATACCAATGACCAATCTGGGAAACTCCTGTGGGGAAATGACACTCCTCTTCTAGGTTAAAATATAAAGGCTATTCCATTTAAATATATACCCCAACCTGCCAGATCAAAATAAATAACGTTTGTTCCAGGTTATATCTTAAAAGATATCTTAACTGGTGCTGGTCACATGCTTCTAAAATACACAATTTTAGAAACATTTCATAAATATTTCAGATGTAAAAAATGGACAAGATTATATCAACTTTCAATATAAACGTATACCTTTTATATTTATATTTAAAGTTGATATAATCTTGTCATGTTTCAGTCTGTATTGTTATAAATAATGATTTACAAACTGAAGGTATTTTTTTGAATTGTACCTATTTGCATAATGTATTAATACGCAAAGTTTGTGCACCTTATTAATTAGATTTGTTTTGGGATTAATTTTTAGAAGTATTTAGAAAGTAGTACTTTTTCATTCCTGCTAAAAATTCCTCAACCCAAACTTTTGTACTTTGGAACATTGTTGCTTCATTATAACTTTGGAAGTAGGGTAACCTACTTTTATATACTTGGCAGACAACCCTGACATCTGTACAGGGGTGCATCAATGTTGAAAAAACAGACCTATTAAATTTGCCAAAAGTTTAACTTCCTTTCCATGTAATATGCTTTTAGAAATCCCTTTAACTATGTTCTTGGATGTTTATAGGGAGAACAAAAATCATTCATATGTTGATAGTGGCCTTTTTTTAAATTTGACAACTTTGGTTTGGGTATATAATATAAATGGAATAGCCCTAATGACAATTAGTCATCAAACATGGATGTTTTGTTCAGTTTCTTTAGTGGTAGTTTTGTTTGGGTAAACCATTTGATTGGTTGCATTTGATATATAATTTTATTTGACCATTAAATTAATGGACTTCATATGGTATGTTAAGATATCAGCTGATGCTTCTGTCTTTGAAAATAATGTATAAATCAAGATGAAGTCCAGTGTTTTGATGGACTACCGAAGGAAGCTGAGGATTCTTGCCCTTTCATACTGTTGGTTCTAAAATTCATCAGACTCAATCTTTTATAATACACACAGTCTTTGATTGAGAAAAAAAATGAATAGGAAGGACATTTATTGTGGCCGATATTGAAGACATGATTGAGTTTGAATTGTTTTACTCTCAACTTAACAACAGGCATGTTGAGGTTTTGAAGCTCTGTATGTACACTAATACGATCCAGCTCCGCGTAATAAGCGTAAATTACCCCCGCGCATAATATTCCACGTTTACAGTAATAATTCTTGTCCTGCAGTCAAGTTTTGGCCTGACTGTAGATCGTATTATTCAAATTATTTCAAATTATTAGATTTCAAAAAGGTTTCTAGCTGCTTGTATACAGATCTTTCAAGGATTTTCAAAGAGTCAAAACACAAACATTTCCCTTTGCAAAAATTTCCACTTTTACTGTATATGTCAATTTTGTTATATATATTTACGTATCTTTAGATGAAGTAGATTCCAGACCTTTGTGATAAGTTGTCTCATGTAATAGTCTAATTTAGTATCGGCCATAACAGCCCAACTCGGCTTTTAGTCCACCATCATCAGATGAAGGGCTATTCAAATCGCCTTTGTCCGTGGTCCGTTGTTCATCCTTAAACAATTCTTGTTATCGCTATTTCTCATTAAGTACTGTAGAGATTCATTATCGCTATTTCTCATGAAGTACTGAAGGGATTCATTATCACTATTTCTCATGAAGTACTGTAGAGATTCATTATCGCTATTTCTCATGAAGTACTGTAGGGATTCATTATCGCTATTTCTCATGAAGTACTGTAGAGATTCATTATCGCTATTTCTCATAAAGTACTGTAGGGATTCATTATCGCTATTTCTCATAAAGTATTGTAGGGATTTGTTATCGCTATTTCTCATAAAGTACTGTAGGAATTCATTATCGCTATTTCTCATAAAGTACTGCAGAGATTTTTTATCACTATTTCTTAGAAGGTAACATTAGGAATTTTTCTCACATTTGACATGCAAGTAAACAATAAACAAAATGACCGATATGTTGCCATGTTGGATTTTATTAGGTAATTTATAAGGTTTGTTATCTCTATTGCTCAGTAAGCACCCAAGAGATCCTTCTCAAATTTGATATGTAGGTTCCCCTTGGTCTATAGCTTTGCAAGTTTCCTTTTGAGACTGATTGAAAAAATGAAATGGCTGACAGGTGGCCAATTTGGGTTTTAACAGTTTAGATTTGTAAACTCTTTCCTTACCCTAAAGAGAACCCTCATTGACAGCACCTCTAAATCTGTAAAAGTTACAAACTTTTAACATTTTGCATATTCTTGCTGTTCTGATACAGTAACATTTGTCATAGTGGCAAAAAACATAAAACATTACGAGGTTTAAGGTTATATACAAGATTTTCGTTCAGGAATCACAACACGGGACTGGGCAATAGTACCAGGAAGGAAATGAAGGGCAAAGAAGGTAAAAGGTCCTCTTTTGTAACCCTGATAAAGATCCTTTCATGGTGGGCGCCAAGATCCTTCTGGGATCTCTTGTTTGTAGTTATCATGTAGAAATCAAAGACAACCTCGATTTGTCCACAATAAGATGTACTTGAATTGTCTCCTGTACTTAGGATTTTGTTGGACACAAAATAGTACAAACAATGTTAAGGAATGTTTGTTTTCGGTTATAAACAGCAAATAAAGTATTCCTTTCAAGTTTTTGTGATATAATGTTATAGAAAGGGCACATACATGTACAGCTAAGTTGTGAACATATAGTTATTGTTATATTCTCACCAGTGAAAGTCACTCAGCGTTCTTAAGTTTTGCTTACACAAAGTAAACCTACATGTAGCACCCATAAACACTCATCAAATAAAATGACTTAAAATTGGAGGAGTTCAGAATGAAACTTAGATAGGAATAGCTATTGTTTTAAATTATGAATTTGTTTTTAAAATCTATAATCCTCTGTTTTGAGGATGGAATACTGCTTATTTGGGGGGGTTTGCATACTTTCTTATGTTATTTTAAAAAGTAGTACTTTAGGTCAAAATTAAATCTAAAGCACATGGAGTGAAGCAGTGTGGAGTGACGATTGCGAGAACACCTGTGAAGTTTGTATATGTGAGACATTATTACTGTATGAATTGTAGTGGATAACAAACACATCATCAGACAGATCTGAAACATTACAACTGTATGGAGTTTTCACACCTTGGCAATATGAATTTCTTGCAAAAAAACTCATAACTGAATTTTCTTCTATGGAAGTCGAACGAGTCATGCCAAGCTGCACTAAAAATATCAAAAAGTCATGCTATGATGTGTGTCTATCCGTCCATTGGCAATGAAATGATTTGTCTAAATATCCCCTAAGCCTAGATCATGATTTTTGGCCTATAGCTTGCTAGCTAGGATGCATTTAGGGCTACGTATGGGTAATAAAAAATAACCATAACCTACTTCATAGGTCACAAAAATTAAATATTATTTTCAAACTTATACCTCATCAGAACAGCAGCTCAATGAAATTTGTCATATTTTGTAGAGAAAAATATAGAAAGGTTTAATGTTAAGTGAATAACATCGACCCGTTGTTAAAAGTCAAATGATCCCTCCAGAAGAGCAATGAGGCCTGTATTTATATTTGTCCAACAGCTGAGTGGTGTGCTCACATTCATTACTTTGATCGATTGGCACGGTTGCAGAGGTCAAATCTGTTCAAACATTATCTGGCCTCTAAAGGATCATTAAATATAAAGCATAGACTCGGGATATTTTGCTAGTTCCTTGTGGGTAGAGGGGGCTGCTTGTGGGGGCTGTTTGTGGGTAGCGGGGGCTATTACTTATGTCAAAGATTAACCTCATTCAACTTTCCAGATTTCAGTTCACCTAGGCTGCGAGGGTTGGATTCCCCGATCAGACTTGAAAACATATGGGGTCACCTGCCCAACCATGTAGGTTTTCTTGGGGTACTCTAGTTTCATCCCAGATGAAGACCCCCGCTCATACATCGGGGCCAACAACAGTGATTAATACAAGTTAAAATATCTTGTTTCAGAATTGTTGTAAAATAAATAAATTTTATATTAAACTATTGAAAAATATTCAAACAACCTCTTCTGAATAACTAAAGCACCCTGGAGGGTGCTGGTAATAGGCCAATAGCCTACAAGGATGAATTAAGGCTACCAATTTTTGCAATAACTTCTTCTCTGATAACCAATTGGCCCAAGATGTTGATATTTGGCCTGTTGCTTAATTTAGCCTATTTGGATAGTAGCCCACTTTGAAGGGTACTGGTGTAAGAATAATACGAGGTGAGCAGTTAAGGCCCATTGGGCCTCTTGTCTTTTTTTAAACCAGAAATGGTAAACAATTGGACACAATTAAAGTAAATGGGCTATTTTTTTAATCTGAACACTTTACTTTCTAACTAAGAAAGAAAGCTGCACATGGTTTAGCAAGATTTCACACGGATTTACGCGGTAGTGTAGCTAGGTTTTATATTGTATTCATGTGTCTATACACATGTATGCGTTGAAATCATCACTATATCACAATAAGCTGAACTGGACCATACATTTCCACAGTTCCCAAAGTAGCTAGTATATGTAAAAGTCCAGAGATGTTGTTAAATTGTTGAGAGTATTGCATTCTCACATCCATAATTATCTATAAATAGAATGTCATTCATTGTCTATCTCAAACATTTCTAACCCTGTTTTTAAATGATAAGAAAAATAAGCTGGACCAAACTCTTTGTTTTTCTTACACCAATATAAGTTACATTTTCTAGTCACTTAATGATTTGGGTGTTTCATGTTATACTTAGTATTTTCTTTCTTTGACAGAATTATTTACAATGTTGTTCATTTGTATGTTTGGTCAGGTTACTGGTGTACCAAGGAGTATATGTTAGTCCGAACACATTCCTGGAACATCAGCTACTTTATGTATAGACGTTCCCCAACGAGTGATGGTTGGTCATCATGTTTATCTAACGCGAGTTAGTTAATTTTCAAATTATATAAAGACACAAGGTTTACTGAGTGTCTTTTACAATTTGAAAATTAACTAACGAGAGTTAGATAAACATGATAACCTATACTACCATCACGAGTTTGGGGTCCTTTTTCTCCCATAACATTCATATACATCTAGAAAGCCGTATGTTTCACTTGAAAATACACTATGTCAGCTTTCTATG